TCTACTTCGAGGAAGCCAAGCCTGTCAAGTACCAATTCTCTTAAGTAACGCAGCCTATAATCTTTCACAAATATTTCAATTCTACCACTATATAATAACACAAAGACAGGCGCGAAGCCATGCAGAACAAAAACAAACTTATTATGCATCGAAGTTGCCAGGTACACAAAACAAAAATATATAACAGTTACAATTAAATACATGAACAAATAATAAATTAAAGTTAAGTAAAAGAAGTAGACTAGAAAGAATTATATTTCAACAAATTTGATTTGCTGTACGGCTCTCTATTTAATTAACTCAACGTTAATTAATATTTTGAGTTATGTCGAGAGACTTAGCTCAACTTTAATACTCCATATTGCTGATAAAGATTAGCTGGTGCTGACGTCATAGGTCACATGCATGGGTATTGGCTGTCTTCTTCTTCTTGGAGTGCAAGTACCCAATTGCAATAAAAAAATGAATTATGCACTTAAAAGCAATATTAATGGAGAAAGGGTTTAAATTCATTTAGGGGAAACAAAAGATATTGCAATGCTATTATTGACGCAATGATACCCAATTAATTTTGGGAATAGACTCCACAGGTAATTGTTGCAGTTTTTATCGATACCAAATATAGTAATATAGATACATTTAGTACATTTGGTACCTAATAAAAACACATCAGTAATGTCGATACTGTGGAAATAAAATTTCACGGGTCCTTGAAAAGGATAAGTACCAAAGAAAATCGCTTAGTTATGGTTAATTTTGATTATCGTGAGTTAGTCTCGATAATAGCATGACGAGAAATCATAATGTATGCAGCTAATTTCTATTTCGATGGGATAAACTACTAAAAAACGTGTTTTGCTTAATCTAATAATGCAAATGAGGTGATCCGGGTTCAAATCCTAGCGGTGGCTGCTCGATAAGAATGGTGCTCTCGACTCGTACAGACTACAGTGCTGATGTAAAATATTCTCAGTGGTAGACGTATCATGGGTTAAAATCTCCTTGCTATTAGGCTAACCGTGGAAAGTTTTAGTGGTTTTCCTCCCCATGCAACGCAAATATGGGTGAGTTCTATCAAAAAGTTCGAAGGCAAATTTCTCCCGATACTTGATACAGAAGTTCCCTTGTCTTCTGAATTGAGCTCATAATTGTAATGCTACCGAGTTGAACATTGGTAGTCATAAACTCAAAATTGGGTCGGCTGTTCTACGACGGTTATAAAATATAAAATGCAAGAAAGCAAATTCATTGGAAAGAACAAAACTAATAATAATAATTAATAAATTAAAACAATTCTAATTATTTTAACTTTATTAATTGTGTCTTTCAGTTTCGTGCATAATTTCGTAATTCATTACGAGAGTACTACTCATATATCGCATTTACCCGTAATTCATTACGAGAGTAATACACATATATCGCATTTACACGTAATTCATTACGACAGTAATACACATATATCGCATTTACACGTAATTCATTACGAGAGTAATACACATATATTGCCTTTACCAGCGGTTATCTTTTAATTTTATGCATTATGATTTTATTGACTTTAAAAAATATCAATATACGTAATTCCTTATTTCTAATTTACTATTCATTTAACTTTCACATTATTTTTGGTAAATTAGTGCTCAATGTTAGATTTCTGAATTTTCATGATTTTTTGAACTGATCATTGATTGTTTACTTAATTTTCTTCTCATACGAAGAAAAGGTATTCATCTAGTATGTATATAAGAGTTAAAACATTGCCTAGTGCATTATTCCAGATTTCATTTAACACTTTCACATGCTCGAATTTTTCATCGTAATTAATAAGAAGCGTATATTACAGTGTATTTTTGTATTATGCGTTATAACACAGAATATTTTAATTTGCAGGAATCACTGCATGGGCTGTAACGACTGATGTATTAAGGATCAGTCCAAGAGCACATGAAAATACTGTACACAGTTTTAGACCAAGAGGAAAATCAAGGGTATGTATTCAGTTTTTTTAATAAATTAAAACTTAATTAATTCGTGAATATCAATTAATTATCAATTTTGGCATTAACTAAAGTGTAATTTAATCTATGGGTATATTACACAAAAAAATCTGATTTTTAATCTATTTTAAATTCTTAATTTAACTATCTGTAATGTTATTAAAAGTAAATATAGTAGATGGAACTTAAATATTTGATTTCTTTTAATATCAATTCAATTCTAGCACAATTAATCGTATATTAAAAGTTGACAAATTTTTAAAAAATAAGACATTTAAAAGGAAGAATAATATTACTAAAAAATAAAAAGAAATAATGTAATTTTGAGTATATTGCTTTAAAAATAAAGCTTTCATAAATCTTTGAATGAAATTTTAAGGATGGTTTGTTTGTAATTTGAGAGCCATAAGGTTTTTGTGAGGATTTTGAAAACTAGAATTAAAATATAACATTTCCTGAATGTTTGCAAAGATTAAGTGTTTCAGAAATGCATACAATCAAGAAAAATATATGCTTCCCCCTACAATGTCACCTAACATAAAAATAAATAAATAAACAAATATCTCGACAAGATCAATAAGGGATAGATTTTTCTTTGCCGGTATTGTGTACTAAATTTCTATAAGAATGGTATTTTTAATTCCTAAAGTTTTTAAAGTCTATTGAAATTAGTATGCATCTGTGTGCTTTCAAGAAAAGTATTTAGATTTAATTCAAAACTCTTAATTAGGATACTTCAAAATGTTAATAAATTTTAAATGAAAAAGCGAGCTTGATATATTTTTGCACAAGTTATATAAAAATTGTCTCTTTTGTCAGAAAAAAGGTGTGCTTGCAAGCTGATTAACATATTTTTCACACATCTTAAATTTTGTTTTATCTTTCGTTCAAAATAATAATATTTGTGTATCTTATTTTTTCGTAAAAACAAATATTTTTTAAAACTGCTGCTATTAAAAAAAGTACCAAATGCAAATAGCGAATGAAAGTCTGTTCAATCATTACAAATATATAGAAAGAAAATAGTTTATACAGTATGTCCCATAAATGTTGAGACAAACTTCTAAGGGAAGTAGGGCACGTCAAAAGGAATGAGAAATACCTACGAAACCATGACCAGAGATGTCATGTTACGCTGCTAGGGGTGCTTCCTATTATGAAAATGTTGTTCGTGTGCCTTTGAACTTGCATTTTTATTTTTCTAAAATATTTTAATTTCATGTTCCTATTATATATATCAGTCGTTGAACAGCCCAGCTTTTGGGCTTACGAGTACTAATGTTCACCTCCGTAGACTTGTAATTTTGAATCAATCCAGAAGACAAGGAAACTCCTGGATCAGTACCCCCAGAGGTATTGATTTGTTATGGGAGCATGGAGGACTTTGTGACTCCACAGATTTAACGTGTATCAGTCACCATTTACTACACGGGGAGTCCTCGGCCGGCGGGAATCGAACCCATGACCCCTTGGACATGGGCCCAGCTCCCTATCGACCGGGCTATCCCGGCCCTTTCCTACTTACTATTAGTCATTGTCAAGAGTTCCATTAAAATAGGCTAAGAAATGCTGTCTTATCGTAATTTAATGATTAGGCGAGCTTTGCCAGTTAGTCACCAAATCATTAGATTACGATAAAACAGCTAATACTGTACCTATTTGAAAGTAGTTTTTGGCAATAATTAATAGAAGCGAAAAATTAAGATAATTTAGATAAATAAAAGTACCTGATGTTCAAAAGCACACGATGTAACAGTTTATAATAGGAAAGCGTCCTTAGCGGCATATGATATCATTTTAGTCATGGTTTCTTAAATAATTCTTAATCCTTATGATGTGCCCTACTTCCCATGGAAGCTGTTTGTCGCAACATTTAGAGACATCCTGCATATTAGAATACAATTTCTTCATTGAAATAAATAACGCTATTTCTCAAAACATAACACTGCTTTTAAAAATTTCATAAAAATTGGGAATTATAAGACTTTTTAGCATTCTTTCTAAAGAGAGAGTAACTTTCATTTTCATAGAAATACAATAGAAATGCATACTAATGTATGAGAATAGTTTAAATTTCCTTGATTATATTCCGATTATATTTCCTTGAAGACGGGACGACTTATTTTGAATTGGGGGAAAAAATGAGCTCATTTTCTAGAAATTTCTTCATTGAAAAGACAGAAGGACTTGACCCATAAATATACGACCAAACTTTACAAAAATGAAAAGCTTTCATCTTCCGTGAGTAGAGAGTATTGGAAAACGAAAAAAAAAATGACCACTGGTATTAAATCTTACTGAGTGTGTCAAATGGTCTTTTAAAGCGACCCGGTTTTCATTCGCGTGTCAATTTGCAAAGATTATTTACCCAAGAGCACTCTTCATAAACATGTGTAAACTGTTCCAGGGAATGTAAAAGTAGTTGTTATTATTCCGAACTACTTTTGCCTTTCATTGAATGAAGAAAAACCTAGAAATACGAATAGATTCGACTAACTTTCTCACAAGCATTTAGAAAGTTTTTTTATTATTTATTTTTATATAAAACGTTATTTTATTTTAAAGAATTGGTGATAGAATGAAGTAATAACTTGTTTTAAAAATAAAACATTATTTTATATTTTAAAAATTGGTATTGAGAGATGTAAAAATATTAAGTTTTGAACTATTCATAGAGATTTATTCAATTATAAAGATGTAAAAATATTACATAAAGATGTAAAAATGTACAGTAAATATTAACCTTGGAATACTAAATTCAACATTCTGTAGTTTTCCTTTTTGCCGGAAAAGAAGTATGTTAAACTTATTCTTTAAGTCACCTCATGGAAAAAAAGGTAAAATTTCCGTATTTTGAGGTAATAACATTTCTCGTAAGAAAAGTATATATATATATATATACAGTATACCACCCATCAAACTCAAGAGATAAATTTCAGAATTCTCTCTTGGAAAGCAATTACAGAAAATAAAAAAGATATGCAGATAGTAAAAAAGAATTCTTATACAACAAATAATAATATATGTGGAAGCAATTTTATTCATGGTTATCAATGGCTAGAATAACTACATAATCTACTAACTTAACAGAAGATTTTTAGAAATTAAAGATAAAATAGAACAAGAATATAGTCACCGATTCACTATTTTTAATTTAAAAAAAAAAAAGTTCAATTTCTTCAAAGCTTTTAGCTGCTTATTTTAGTACTTCCACGATTCTTTAAAATCTGCTTACTAAGTTCAGGATAAAATGGTTGGATAAGTTTACAATTGCGTTATCAGTCATGTGATATNGAAGAAAATTAAGAAAATTAATAAGTTTTATTTACTGCGCATAAGCAGCAAGTATATAGAGCTCATAAAATAAGTTAAAAACATAGAGAAAATATGGAAAAAATTAATGATTAATGAAAAGAAAAGAAGAAAAATATTACTAAAATAACTTTTTTTAAAAAATGAACAAAAATAACGTTAAAAAGTCGAAAAACAAAGAAATTGAAAGATATAATTTCTTCATCAGCTCACACGATTATTTCCGCAAAAAGGAGTGCTCGTTTCGTTTTGTGCTGTTTTTTCTTTATATTTTATTTTCTGATTCTTACGTGATATATTTTTTTACTTAATGTGCTCTTTTTTGTTTCAAAATTTTTTTTTTGATTGCTCCTCCCACTAGTGTATTGATACATTTTTCTTTGGATACAATATTAGAAAGCACTCTAATATTGATAATATATTAGAAGTACCTGATGTTTCTTAACAATCCATTTTATGGGTATTGGAGAGTATTTTCAAATTTACGTTAGATTCCGTAAGATTTGAAGCAAATGTGCATGCTCACGTTTTTTTCTGCGTTTTTATACGTTTTGTTGTCGTGGATTTACAAACCAACAAGTACGCTGTTTGCAGCTTTTTATTTAAGAAGAAATAGAATTAACAACATGGACATGTTATAGATAGATCAAGAAAAATGCCAACACAATTGGTTGATTTAATAGAAAGAATTATTGGTTTAGTTAAAATTACGGTTGTCTAATTGCACTAGATCCATAATAAACTACATAATTCTTCGTCATTTAAAATTATCAAATATATTTATTTCAGTTGTACTTTTTAGTTGTATAAAGTTTAACTTCCATAAACTCCATGTCCGTTGTAAATATTTGTTTTGATTTTGTGGTCAAAGTAAGAATGGTATTCTATTACGTTAGCGTTTTTAATTTACGGGTTTTTTCAAAATCTCTTATTTCGATTCACATGAAATTGCTATTCTTTCACTGGCACACGCGCATTTCACCATAATTGACAAATATGCACTTCAAGTACGTTTGTGCAGTTACTTAAAATCTTACGTTTGGGAGCGTGCGAAACGTAAGCGCAAATTCTCCCTACTGCAAATAATAAATAATACAGAGCCGGGATAGCCTGGTTGGTAGGGCACTGGACCAATGTCTAAGAGTTCGTGGGCCAAAGTAAATGGTGACGGATGCACGTTAAATCTGTCGAGTCTTAAAGTCCTCCATGTTCCTATAACAAATCAATACCACTGGGGGTACTGATCCAGGAGTTTCCTTGTCTTCTGGATTGGATCAAAATTATAAGGCTACGGAGTCGAACATTGGTAGTCGTAAGCCCAAAATTAGATCGACTGATCAACGACGGATACAAAAAAATAATAAATAATGCTTCAAAAAATAAATAAATTAAAAAAAATCGAAACACATGTTTTTATAGGGAATGAAATTGAAATCATTTTCTAGATTTATAAATAGATGATAGCCGCTAATGTATGAAGATTCATAAACTGTTAGCCACTGATTCACTCATGTTTTTTTCAAGTTTATGTATAATACTAAATTATGTGTGACTTGCTAAATTTTATGGAGCATAAAATATTATGAAAGGTGTTAAAAAATGAAAGCAGTGATAAAATCAAATAGCATTTTATTTTATCTATGTTTTTCTGACCTCAATCAACGAACTTGAAATATCTG